CTGCAGGGCTCAGCCTGTGGCAGCCTCGCATTCAGACAGGCGCCAGCATCTGTGGGCTCTCTCAGGATGACTCTAAGATCTCACTGACTCTGGTGTTCCTCGGTCTCACCAGCACGTCCCAGCTGGGCCGAGCTCACACCCACCCTGTTTGGTGTAAGCCACAGGTCCACAACGTTCATCAGCTCCGGAAATCCCTCAACCATTATCTCCAGTTTCACCACGAATTCCTTCTCCATATCCTCACCGCTTCCTTTTTTACCCCCTCATCAAATTACTCTCTTCTGTCTAATCTGCTGATTAACTCATTCATTTTATCTTAAATTATTATGTTAACATATCCAGGCCAGGCACTATGGCTCACGTCTGTAATCCTAGCACTTTGGGACGACGAGATGGGTGGATCATCTGAGACCAGGAGTTCGAGACAAGCCTGGCCAATATGGTGAAACCCCGTCTCTACTAAAAATACAAAAATTAGCTGGGCATGGTGGCGGGCACCTGTAACCCCAGCTACTTGGGAGGCTGATGCAGGAGAATCACTTGAACCCAGGAGGTGGAGTTTGCAGTGAGCCGAAATCGTGCCACTGCACTCCAGCCTGGACGACAAGAGCAAGACTCCATCTTAAAAACAAACAAACAAAAAAACAACAAAAATTAGCTGGCCATGGTGGTGCACACCTGTAGTCCCAGCTACTCAGGAGGCTGAGGCACAAGAATTGTTTAAACCCTGGAGGCAGATGTTGGAGTGAGCTGAGATGGCGCCACTGCACTCCAGCCTGCGTGACAAAGTGAAACTCCATCTCAAAAAAAAAAAAAAAGGGGAGGGGGTTAACATATCTAAAAGTTACATGTGATTCTGTTTTAGATTTGTCTGATCGCTTTTTATGCTCTCTTGGTACGTGCTTACTTTTTGGATTACAGTTCCCACTTCTTAAACATATTTTATATATAGTTATTTTATATTCTGTACTAAGTAATTCCAATTTCCTAGTCTTTAGGGGTCTAAATCTGTGAGTGGTTGTTTCTACTGATTCTCATCAGTAGCATGGTGGTTCTCTGAACGTTTGGTAATGTCTAATTGTCAGCCGTTATCTGTGACAATTCTGAGGTCCAACTTGGAGATGCTTCCCTCCAGAGACTGGCGAGATCACCTTGGGCCCCCTCGGTGACCCTTGAGACCCCTGGTTTAGCAGCCCCTATGCAGAGAAGCATACTTGTTCGCTGGCCACAGGCTGGGTCTCTGTCCCTGTGTGTGTTCAGTGAATTATCGGCTTTCCCAGCCACTTCCCCTCATCATCCGGGCCTCCACATTACTCTGTTTGTTTACTGAGAGAGTCTTGCTCTGCCGCCCAGGCAGAGTGCAGTGGTGAGCTCCTAGCTCCCTGCAGCCTCGACCTCCTGGGCTCAAGTGATCCTCCTGCCTCAGTCTCCCAAGTAGCTGTGACTACAGAGTGCACCACCACACCCAGCTAATTTAAAATTTTTTGTAGAGACGGGGTCTCATCATGTTGCCCAGGCTGGTCTCGAACTCCTGGGCACAAGCAATCCTCTCGCCTCGGCTTCCTAAAGTGTTGGGATTATAAGCATGAACCACCCGACCTGGCCTTATTTATTTTTGCTGTTTAATTTTGGGGGAGCCTTGGAGATATTTACTTTCTTGGAAGCCCAGCAGTCTATTAAAAATGTATGCTCATAGTAATTCATCCAGAAGCTGGTTGTTGCTGGAAGGCCTTTTAAGGGATCTAGTACATCATATTGCCAGCAGGGCTCAGCCTGTGACCAGCAAGGTCTGGGCTCCGTCTGGGGCCAGGGTCAAGGCTCAGCCTGTGATCAGGGTCGAGGCTCATTCCGTGGCCTTGAGCACAGCCTGGTGTGTGGCTGGGTTGAGTCCAGCAGAAGTCTCGGGGTTTTCCAGCCTCCATCCGAGTCCGACTTTGATGCCTTTCCTGGTCAGACAGGAGCTGGGCCAGTGGCCAAGCTGCCAGGATGGCTTCCCTGGGGCCACGGCTGCCTTCCTTCCCCTCCTGCCTGGGCTGGCTCTGGCCGCCACTAGGGGTTGAAGATGAGGGCTCTCCTGGGAAGCTCTTGGCTGAGCATCGCCTGGCCCCGGAGCCATGAAAACAACAGCTGGGCCTGGTGGGGGTGGGGAGGCTGAGTGGAGAGGCCAGCTCCCTTGGCTGCTGGGCAGGGGCTTCTGTCCACAGCTGCCTCAGGCATTTGTTTCCAAAGGTGTTTCCAGCTTCCCAGGCCCACCCTGAGGTCCCGCACTGCCAGGGAGGTTGATGGCACGGAGCAGCGAAGCCCGGCCCCAGCCCCAGCTGCCGGATCAGCTCGCAGAGGAACACCTGTGGGGGCCTGTGGGCGGTTCAGAGGGGTGTAGGAACGCGCCTGTGGCAGGCCATAGCCCCGGAAAGCAGAGGCCTGGCCTGCGGAAAAGAAGCAAGGAAGGGGTGATTCAGGAAGGCCAGAGCCCCTGTGCTGGGGCAGGGGCCCCAGCCCCTAGGACAGGACAGGCCCCACGTGGGAAGGCAGGGGCCCCACCCCCTAGGACTGAACAGACTCCCTGTTGAGGCCCCTGGGTTCTTCCCGGGACGGTCCTTGCCTGGCCTCTTCCATGGATCCTAAGCAGCTTCCTTATTGGCCACCATCTGGGAAGCCAGGAGGGGGGCATGAAATGAGGAGGAGGTGGGGGCCCCAGCCAGGGTGCCCCTCCTCAAGGCTCCAGGTATACAGTTGGCCTTTGCCCAGTCCTTCTAGCCCCTGCCAGGGAAGGACTCCACCTGGACCCCACGAATCTCTCCCAACTTTTGCCCAGCATGGCGCCCATGATCAAAACCCAGCTTCAGGGCCCTGGGTCCCCAGGCCGGCCCCCACCCTGAGGGCGCCTCTACACCCCTTCCCCCAGAGCCCCTCCCCCAGCCTGAGGGCCAGGAGCAGCCTCCTCTTCCTGCAGTCTCTCCCCTGGCCCAGGGGCCTGAACTCCTCGGGTGGAGGAGCTGAGCTGCAGGGTGGCTGTGGGGACCTCAGGGTGGCCATGGGGGCCTTGGGGTGGCCGTGGGGACTGTGGGGTGGCTGTGGGGGCCTCGGGGTGGCTGTGGGGACCTCTGCCTGGCGTTCTTTCCCAGTGGCTGGAGCCCCTGCCTTGGCCGAAAGGGAGCCCGGAGTGTGTGTGCCTGTGTGTGTCCCATCTGCGTCCCCATCATGCCTCATTCTGGGGCAGGGGGGCAGTAAGGGGCCCCGCCCCACTGGATGGAGCGAGCTTCCCACCTTGCCCCGTGTCATTTCCTGATTTGCAAAATATTTCCTGGGAGCACAGTTGTTGGCAAGCACAGCCTCAGACGGTGTGAACAGCTGGGGGGCCCCTCAGATGTGGCTCCCTCTGTCCCTCTGGCCTGTGCTGGCCTGCCCCTGCCCCCAGGCCTGTAAGCTGGGAAGGCTGTGGGGCAGGAACTCCCCAGGGTTAGTGGGCTGGTCTGAGGGCTAAGGCCCCTGCTCCCAGCCCCGCCCAACCTGCCTCTGGGGAGTCCCTCGTGTGTGGACATAGGTCAGTCCCTCCCTGCTGCCTCCTTCCGACCCTGGTCCAGGCCCCTGGGAGTTTTGGGTCTGCCCAGGGCTGTGGTCTGAGCCTGTCCTGACTGTGTCTAGGGAAGGAGCAGTGTGTCGTCCTCCTCTCCCTTTGGGGGAAGGACGTCCCAGGAGAGAGGCAAAGTGAGGGGACCCACACAAGGAAGGGGCCCTGCTATTGGGAAACCCTGGGTCATTCAGGCCTGTTACTCTCTGGCTCCCACGGGGCCGGGCTCTGTTCTCGCTGCGGCGAACCTCCTGCCCTCACCGAGGCCAGCAGCAGCCTCCACCCGGCTTCTGAATGCTGCACTCAGGAGCCCGGCCACCCCTCCCAAAGACCCCCAGCCTGCTCTGCCCCTGCTGTCCCGGTGCAGGGCCCTCCTGCCCACCCCACCCTGGTCTCAGTACTCGAGGTTCCTTCTCTCTGCCCGGAAGTCTCTTCCTCGAGTACCCTTGCGTGTGAGTCCCCAGTGACCCCCCGTTCTCACAGGGAAAACAAGTAGACCGTATCTTTCCTAGCTGGTCACGGCCCACCCCTCCTAGCCTGGCAGTGCTGGCCCGGCGCCTGTGTGTCCCCAGCGCTGAGGCTGGCGTGCGGCTGTGCCCAGCACACAGACGAGGGATGGATGGACAGATGCAGATGGTGCGGCTCCTGCCCCCTACCCAGGCTGCTCCCCGCCACCCCAGCTGCTGCTGGCACAGGGGACTGAGTGGGGTCAGCTCTGGGGCCAGAGGGGCAGTCCTGGGCTCCTGGGAAGTGAAAAGTGACCCCAGGACCTGTCTTTGACTCCAGCGAGCAGGATGACTGTAGGAGCTGGGTGGGCCCTGCTCTCTTGGTGACCCCGGCTCTGCCCCACTTACTGTTATGGGGTGGGGTCCCGGGCTCAGGCACACCCCAGAGCAGTGCCTCAGGCCCGCACTGCTGCCCCTCACCGCCCCTTCCATCTGTTCCAATGTGTGCTTGAGTACATTTATGAGATACAGGAAAACAGCAACCAAAGGCGCTGGGTGCGGGCCTGGGCGTTCTGCCCTCGGCTTGGGTCAGGGGTGGGGTCAGAGGCTTCAGGAGTTGCCCTTTTCCCCGGGGTCAAACATGACCACAGCCAGCTGGGGACAAAAGGCCCTTCTTCTTCTGCAGAAGCCTGGATTGTGCGGAGGAGGGAGCATTCCCAAAGGCGGGTGGGGGCAGGGCGGTGCCCGGGCGAGAACAGCGTCCCCAGCTTCCCGGAACCCCCTCGACCTGCCTGCAGACAGACCGGCAGGGCAGGCCGGCTCCGGGAAGTGAGGCACAAGGACTCCCACAGCCCAGGCCCAGACCGTGGGGGCAGGGTGGCCGCAGCCACACCAGGCTGCTCCCCACCCCGTGGGGCCCAAGGCCACCAGGATCAGACAGGGGCTATGCCTGCAGGAGGCAGAAGGCTTGGGGCCAGGAACCACTGTGATCTGGCCTGACCCGTCCTTGCCCTGCCTATCTTACCCCAGGCCCCTCTCCCTGGAGAGTGGAGGGTTCCGGCTGTTATATTTGTGCTTCCTCTGGTGTCTGCCTCAAGTCCGGCCCGGGCCCTGACACTGCACCTCTGGCTGACCCCATGCTCTCTGAGACCCTCTGTCCACGTCCTTCCTCTGCGGTGGAGACAGTGGGTGGAGGGCAGGACATAGGAATGAGTCCTGAAGGCTGAGGAGCAGGGGGAGAGCTGATGGGGAGGGTCTCCTAGCAGGAGGGACTCCAGGCAGAGCTGGGAGCAAGGCAGGTGGCTGAGCTCGGCCCAGGCTGGGTGGAGGCCAGGCCTCCTGTGCCTTCTCCCGCTGACGGCGAGCTGAAGGGAGGAGGGCGGCAGCTTCCTTGAGGGCCTGAGTCACAGCCAAGAAGACCCACTCACTTTTTCCAGAAGTGCGGGAAACTTCCCCGTCAGCCCAGCAGGGCAGGCTGAGGTGTGACTGTGGCCCGCCTGCTGGGCAGGGGTGGGGGACGAGCAGGCCACTGGCTGTGAGCCTCCCCAGGGTGGGGGACCCTCGGCCCAGCTCCCTGCTTGACTACCTGGGCGTGCCCCCGCAGGGTCTGCAGCCAGCTTCCGGTCAGACTTCAGGTCCTCCAGCGGCTGTGGCCTTGAGCGTCATCTCCACAGCAGCCCCTGTGTACTGGGGGCTGGGGGGCCTGGTAAGGCCCCTCGGAGTGGCACAGCTCGCACTCTGGGGACCCAAAGTCCCCCCACCAGGCCCAGGCGGAAGCACAAGGCATTTCTGGTCCCAGCGGAGGCCTGAGGTCTGTGGAGCCCAGCCAGCACCTCCACTGCCAAGATCCCTGGCAGGGGGGGCGGGGGGCGCCGGCGGGGACACAGCTCTCCCTTGTTCCTGCCGCCAGCTCCTCAGACTCAGCCTGCTGCTTCCTTTTTTAGGCAAAGTCGAGCGGCCAGCGCTCGTCTGCACGCCCCGCGGTGTCTCACCTGCCTGAAAGGGAGGAAGGAAGCCCATGGAGCCCCATCCGTTCTCCTGCGGGGCATCCTCCAGGAGAGGGTGGGGAAGGAGGGGACATCCTGGCAGACACACCCCCATCCCCCGCCCCCCAGCTCTGAGCTGAGGAGGCCCAGGGAGAGTGCCATGGCTACTGGAGGGAGGGCTGGGGTGGGGTTCTCCTGTCCAGGGGATACTGCTGGCCCAGCCCCACCTGAGCGAGGGAAATCTGCCCTGGGGGCCTCAGGACACCCCCTGCAGCCAGCCACCTCTAGTCTGGGCCTCGCCAAGACCCCAAGACCCAAGAGCTCCTGGCTCACCAGTGGGCCCCTCCAGTCCTGCCGGGGGTGTTTCTTGGGTCCTGGAGTCTGGGCCCCTCATTGAGTAGGGTATATGGGTAACAGGCCCAGTGTGGTCCCACTGGACAGGGCCTGAACCAACCATCTCCCACTCCCATGCCTCTTCCTCCAAGAAGCCCAGGTGGGGTGGGAGCTTCCAGTCTCTCTCAAATTCCTGTCTTCTGTCCCCTTTCAAGGCACTGTGTCCTTCTAAGTCCCACCCCATGGCCCTTCCAATCTCCGCTGGTCAGTCCCTAGGACACGTATCCTATTCCTCCAGACACCCACAGGCCTCCAGCTCTGTGGCCAAGGTGAAACCAGGCTCTGGACGTTTTCTGGTGCCACCGCCAGCCCCTGGGGTTCTCTTGGGTCTGGCTGCAGGGACCCCAGCACCCACAGTCACGGCAGTGGTGGGCATGGGGAGGGCCTAGCCTGGTACCTCCCTGCTCCGCTCCTGCGGCTGGGGGTCAGAGAGGGGTGGAGAGCGCCGGCCGCACAGCCTCGGCCGGGAGGGGAGACTGGAGTGTGTGTGTGTGCGTGCCCACGCGTGCATGCCTCCGTCGTATCTCGGCTGGTGCTGCGTGTCCCTGCGTGTCGGGGTCCGCTGGTGCGCCTCTCCGGGGTTTGTGCACGTGGCCCTCCGCTCGC